TCCTACTGGTCTTTGTCTTTAATTAAATCTGTGGACTAAAAGAATAAGGTGGATTTCTAGCTTGACTGCTTAAGCTGGCGAGATGATCTTGTTGCTGACTCTGGTTGATAGTTGATTTAGCTGATAGGGACTTCTCTATTATAGATGTTATTATTCCTTTATCCTGCAGGTCTCCCTCTTCTTCCTAATTAGCTTGATATTGTTATCTTATCTTATGTTGCAACCTCTATTATAGGAAGTATCTCTTCTCCCTCTTTATAAGTCTGGAAGTTGTTTGAATCTGGAGTTAGCTCTTGGTGTATATCTTGGACCGTGGTTTCCTGATCTTCCTCTTGGTCTTCCACCCCCTCAGCTGCTGGCGATGTCTGAGGTAGCAGCTGGTCTGTTCCTGGTTCTATAGACTCTTTAGGGGTGACTATTCCCCTTATATTAATCTCTTTGCGAAGTTGTCTAGTATCAACAGGTACTAGTGGCTGGCGAGGATTATCGCTTTCCCAAAGTGCTGAGTCTATAGGCAGTTCTTCGCTAATAGGGTCTGGAAAAGGGATCTCCAGCTGATTAAACTATTTCTCAAGCTCTAACTTATGAAGCATTAAGGTATCTTCTTCCCTAGGATCATAAAGCTTTAATTCATCAAAGGTGACGTCTCTAGTCCTTATGACCTTATTTAGGGCTGGTATCTAGATCTAATAGATGTTAGTGCTGTTATAGCTATAGAGATACCCAACATAGGCTTTGAGCTCTGTCTTATTAGACTTCTGTTATCTGCTTTTATAAGTAACTGTTAGGGGATAGGCCCTACAGCTGTATCTCCTGAGATATGCTATCTATAGCATTTTGGGTTGCTAGTGAGTGGCGTCTGGCTGGCTGTTTAGCTATAAATTCACCACCCCCTCAGGCGTCTGCTAATTATGGCGTTTCTGAGGCATTCTATTGCTAAGGTATACTGCTGCTCTGATGATGTCAAGGCTAAGCTCTTCAGGGAATCTTAACTGAAACCTGAGTGCCCTGACTATCATAAAGATAATCCCTCCAGCTCTCTCTGCTGGATTCTGAGCGCCTGTGTAGTCTGCGGAGCGTTAGATGAGATAGCCTTCTGTGACTGCCTATAGGTCGAATGCGTTCCACAGGGCTGTATCCCAATTAAGTCTGATGATTAAGACTCTGAAGCTATATTGCCGCTTAAGAAAGGCGACAATTTGTGATAATACTTATAGTCCTTCTTGTTACGACCCGTTATGCATGGATAACAGTTGACCGACCCACTTGGGCGTCGGGCGGCTAGGACAGGACATTTGTACTGCAGGATCACGGGAACAACAGGAACTCACTCGGTAACGGAAGAACTATGGTCCAAGTCACGTGATGATAAGATAACGATCATATTGGATCAATATGATCCAACACGACTTGGGGGCCAAACGATCATTCTGGATCAGAATGATCCAGATCGACCCAAGGTACAAAGGAACATGTTCAGAATTAGACTTGTATATAATGACCCTGAGCCTGGCTCATGGTCAGACTTCCATAGCTCTTCAGCAATCAACTTAGTATTCATCCTCACGGATACTCTCAGCTTACCTTCACTGCGAATCACTTGTTGAGTCTAAGACTGATCACCTTGGCCTCTGAAGAATCGATCTACTACAGCCTACGAACTACGACCTACGACCACGACCCAGTGTACTGTTAGAACGTATCAATCCCCAGCTTCTGTTAGCAGACCCTACTGTCGGATAGCTGACCGTAACACTTCTTTTCTCGCTCAAAGACCTTATATCCAAGTGAACCCACTCCACTCATCTCTAATCAGAATGATAACCTTCTCGTTATTATATGCCTTGCTGATGACGAAGAAATCTATGGAGATATAATCCCCTAGGGCTGTAGGGTTATGGTCAGGCTTTCTCTGAGATACCCTCTGCATTGCTTTGCCCGTTAAGCATGCTACGCACTCATCCTTAGAAATACCTTCTATCTATATACCCCTTATTATTTTCATTATCCTAGTTAAGGCCTAGGCGCTTAGATAACCTAATCGCTCATACTAAAGCATAGCTTCTGCCTTTGAAGGTCTGAGAGGTTCTGTGGTAGAAGGATGACCTGGTTTAGCTTCATGCTGGCTGGGTAACTTAAACCTGACTTATTTATTGCTGACAGGCGTGTTGCTGAATAAGCTAGTAGATTCCTCTGAGGTGATGTAATCCAGTAAATACTGGCTGTGTTGCCAGGGTGTTGCAAAGAGAAGTTCTCCCTTTGAGTTCTTAAGACCTAGATGTCTGACTGTGAAGAATAGACTGATTTTCTTAAGTGGTTCAGTTCCCAGAAGGCTGACAGGATAGTCTGGGATATATAGGACTGATCTAACAATAAAGCCCTTCTTATGGGGTCCTCCTCAGTTTGGTTTGACGACCATAGTGCCTTTAGCAATAGCTGTAACATATCCCCCTCCTATAAGGACCTGTTGCTAGGAGGAGTAGTTAAGGTCTCTCATCCTCTTTAGGTTGTTACAGATATAGTAGGAACTTCCAGAGTTAACGATCATGCTGTTCCTTAAGGGAGATCCAGAGAATAGGCTAGCTGCTGGGATCCTTAGCTCCTCATTAAAGTAGGATGACGAAAGTGATCTATCTGAGTCCTCTCCGTCCAGAGTGAAGTGGGAGGATGTTATGATTGTTATCTGTATGTTGTTCTTTTGGTTGAACTTTTCGATCCTTATCCTAACCCTTAGGTTGTTCTTGAGAAAATTCTAGGCTTTCTCGATTACCCTCTTATTGCTACTGATATTTAGGTTATAGGTTGATTTTCTGACCGCAGGGTTAAAATAGCTATAGGTTTCAGCGAAGTGTTTCTGACCTAGGCAGGCTGGGCATTCTGGTTTCTAATCTGATGTGAATTTCCCTACTTTCTTATCTTCTTCGTTTCTTCCTTGCTAAGTAGCAAAGCTGGTTATTTTCGCCTTTCCCTCTAGCCAGTCTGGGTGTTCAGATTAAATCTAGTTCTTAAACTTGCTTGCAGCGATAGCTCCATGCCACCTTTCCCCTTTCTTTGGTCGTTTGAGAGTTTTCTTAGCTATCTGGTGGGCTTCAGGCGTTGCCTAGTCTGGAGCGACTGTCTTAACTGCTTATAAGAAGTCTCTGACTTATTCTCTTAAATCGCTTATCAATATAATGTCTAAGACTCTGGCTTCCTCTATAATATCCAGGTAGGTATTAAGCTAGTCTATGATGTTTTGTCTCTTGATAGATTTAAGATAGAGGATATACCTCCTTTTGATAAGTTCTTATCTTGCTTAGCTGCTTAGAGCTAGATTTTCCTTCAGAGACTTAACTATATCTCTGAGGCTGCTGTGTCTGCTGACTTAGTTTATATGCTGAGCGTTAACAGTTGAGATTATCTACTTAAGGATATTATTAAGGCTCTGCTGAACCCTTCTGTATTCCCTTTCTTGCAATTCGAACTTAGCCTTTTTAAGGTTAAGAAGATTGCTGAAGTTTGCTAGGGAAACATCATCTGGATAGTTAGGCTGTGGCTTCATGTTTACCACCGCCTGATCTAGGTCGATATAGTCCTAGACGTTATAGACTATAGCTACTATCCTAAGACTGTTAAACTATTTGGTCCAGTTAGAATCATTCTGGAGCTGCTGAATATACTTAGCTGTATCTATTTTGGATGCGAAGCCTTGTGGTCTTGCTCTGCACTCCTTCTTAAGCTTAAGCTGATGTGTCTTTCTGATTCTTCTTATGCGCTGACGGAGAGTCAAAAGCTGGTTAAGACTGTCGTAGTCTCTTAGGCTTATCTGGTCTAGGGCTGGCAATAGCCCTAATCAGGTTCTTTGCTCTTCTTGAGCTACCTTCGTCTCTTGACTAAAGGTTCTGATTGGGACTGAATTGCCTGAGTCTACTGGGCTCATAACTGACAGATCATTAGTATGGCCACTAGCAGCATAATGAATATGGGATAAAGTTGGTTGTCTTCCTTAGTGTAATCTGCTGGTCCTGCAGTAGATCTATATAAACGATTGGCGTATATCCCTTATAAGGTAATCCTGGCTTGAATATGTAGTTAACTGAGTAATGACTGTAAGCGGTGAGTTTCATATAAGCGAGGGCATCCTTGGTTCTGTCAGAAATGCTGTACAATGCGGTGTGGCTTGGCTGATGGGGTGTGGCTTTGTGCAATGCCCCCCAACTGCTGCAACCCAGGGCTGCGCTACCTAAGGTTCCTTAGTAACAGCGGCGTGGCTCCACCGCACAGACCACTTTTGTCTATGCTTCCATTGCCATGCACGGTGCAAGCGAAGCAAACATACCCAAGCCCGGAGCGGCGAACTTGTTAAACACTTTAGTGAGGCGAGGATCCAGGCGGCTCGCAGCTACGCCTTCGGCAGATGGCCTGCCAGATAGGACAGGACCTTTCGAATTCTTGGCATGATTCGGGCTTGAAACACGCTGAGCGAGGGCTCACAAGTAGTTGAGATGGTGTGGTCCCAGGTATTTGGGCTTGTTTGGGCTGATGCGGTCCGGAGGACTCGGGGGCAGTGTGCCTTGAGGCACGAGGCGTATGCAATCGTTCGCCGAGAAATCTGCCAAGAACCTAATCGAACCTTTATGGTAGAAAGTTGGTGAATATGGATTGTGATCTGGACCTGGCCCTATTGCAGCGGATCACGGCCCGTCCCATGTTCTGACTCCAACCGGGGGGCCGTCTCCGACAGCCCCAGAGCCCCATATTTCCGGCTCCGGGCTTTGATCCATAAGGGGGGTTCGGATCCCTGGCCTTCGGCCCTGACTTCCTGCCACTTGCAGACCTGGTTCATTTCATCCATGGACTTCGGGGGCTTGAGGTCCGCCCATAGAGTCTTCCAGAAAGCGGCGTAACTTCCCTCTCGTCTAATTTTTCTTAGCATCCACTGTTAGTGTAATACGTGGGATACCACCAAAATCCTTAACAGCTGAAAATCCTTCACCTCTCGCCTCCAGCGCCGTCCTGCGATGGCTTCACAGCCTCCGGCGGGCCCTGGATCGCCGCCGGCCCCTTCGGCCGGCCCTGATCGAGGCTCCGGAACCCTTCCGGAGCCGTCCCCAACCTCAAGGGCTAAACGCCGCCGCGGTACCGAGGCCCAGCCATCCCAGCCCAGCCTCGTGGGAAGCAAGCCTGACGCCTCTACGACAGCCCCCTTAACGGCTAAGGGGCCTACGACGATAACTGGAACAGCTACTGGAGCTGTCCTTACAGCCCTGGATGAGGAAGCGAAGCACTATGAAGCCCGGAAGGACGTCTTTATAGCTATCGCCAAGTCTGTGGATAATGTGGTCTCCTGCTTTGAGGGGCCTAGGAAGCAGATTGCAAAGGAGGCTACAGCCTATGTGATCTAAGCCTTGAAAAGAATCATGGGTAACGAGGCAGCAGCCCCAGCCCCGCGTTGGGACTGGGCTGATATAGCGGCCTCAGCACCAGCTGCAGCCCCAGCCCCAGCCTGTAACGTTACCTGAAACCCAACCCAGCCTCAAGCCTAGGCCTAGACCTAGCCCTAGGCTCTAACCCAGCTGAAGGAGGACCTCCAGGTCTTTGCCCGCATCCCTGAAGAGGGCCTAGGGGCTGCTAGGAAGCATGCCCCTTTTACCCTACGCTGTACAGTCTGCCAGGCCCTAAGCCTCCAACTAGCAGATATCCCACATATCTACCACATTGCAACTGGCTACTCGCTAAGACCCCTGAATAAGCAGGTCCAGCAAACCCTGCTTGCAAACAGACAGAAACTAGCGGACAGCCTAGGAGCTTATAAGGTTGAAACGCCTACTAAGTGGTTTACTTACGTTATCCTATGCTGCCCTGCTAAACTGTGGTCCCTTGATGGTGAGGCCCTCGACCTAGCCACTCTGGTTGAAGAGGAGGTCTTTGCACAGACAGGATGTAAGCCTATCCAGGCCTGATAATCCCAACTTGGTATAAACCCTATCACAAACGAGGTCTCTTGGATTATCTCCTTCTCTACAGAAGTACTACCCTTCAGGCTCTTCAACCAAAGCAGCAGATCTCAGCTTATTCAGAAGAAAAAGACCCTCATCAGACATAACCCTAGTTGCCAGGGATATCATTAAAACTGGTACTGTAACTGACAGCCACTCTGTAGCAACTGCAGCAGGCCCACAGGCTCCCATAAGACCTGGCCCTACATAGCCAGACCGAAGTGCGCTAACTGCGCCAGCCCCTTCCAAGCCAACCATAAGGACTGCCCAGCAAGGCCCTTAGTGGTTAACAGCTCCCCCACCCTCCCAGGTCGGAAGGAACTCTCCCAGATCCGTAAAGCTGGGCAGAAGGCCTATGAGGCCCTCTATCAGAGCAGTCAGGCCGGCACCCACGCCCGCAGCACCCAGCAACCTAGCAACAGCCTGACAAGCCCTCAGCCTGGCTCTAAGCGACCATGAGCCCCTACCCCTACCTAGGACTCAATCATCATAGCAGACGTTAGCAATACAGCAAGCTCTAGTAGTATGGAGGAGGATGAGACTGAGGCTGAAGTAGACGTCTCTGACAGCAACCCTATCCTACCACCACTACCTACCCAGTATGCCCCAGCTACCTCAAGCAGCAGGGTCCAGCGGGTAGCTCAGAAGCCTGACTACAACGTTATTAATGCCTACACCCACCTCGACCTCGACTTAGAGCAGTAGGCTCAGGATGGCTCCCCCACAGGTACTACGGGTCGCCCAGTGTAACGTAGGGAAGATAAGCCCAGCTTATACAGCTCTCCTAGAGCTCTGCTGGGCAGATCAGATCGATATAGTACTGACCCAGGAGCCCTAGATAGGCTATAGAGATAGGATGCAAATCAACACTCACCCAGGCTATAACTCTTATGTGCCAGTTGACTTCTGGAACAGCAGGGAAACAAGGCCTAGGGTTATATCCTATATACGAAAAGGTCTAAGGCTAGAAGTATAGCAATAAAGACCTACCTAATTAAGGGATATCCTATGGATTAAGGCTGGCAGTATTACTATTATAAACGTCTACAGGCCACCAGGGGAACCTATAAACCATACAACAAACATCCTCCTAAACTATCAACCGCCAGAGAGAGCCCTTATTGCTGGGGATCTTAATGCCCGCCACTCTTCTTGGGAACCTAGCTCCCAAAGCTGGAATCGAGGAGACGATATTGCAGAATAGGCTGAAGGCTGTAATCTTAACTTTATCGGGGAAGTTGGGGCCTCTACCTATACTCACAGGCACACACTCAACCTTACCTTCTCAAATATCCCCTTTGCAGAGGCCTATATCAGCCTGCACCTACATCCAGGGGCTGACCACCAGGCTATTACAACTATCATCCCACTAGGCAACACCTAGGAGCAGAGGCGACAGACTAGTCACCTCTTAGTACCAGACTCAGCCCTACTTCGACTTGCTGACTTAGTAAAGATAGGGCTCCCAGCCCTATCCACCTTAGGGGATATACCTGCTCCAGCAGAAATAGACACCCTAGCTATCTAACTAGTCAGCCTCCTCTCTATAGCTACTCAGGCTATAGGGAAGAGACGGACTAACCAGGGTAGGGGAGCTCCCTGGTGGACAGAGGAGTGTTCAGAGGCCCACCGAGCAGCTATTAAGGCTAGGCAACGACAAGCCTAGGATCCTGGGCTGTTACTACCACCGCCTATCCTCGAGGAGCAGAAGGCCTTTCTAACTACAGTTAGGAAGGCTAAGCAAGCCTATTGGACTACAAAGATTAATGAGGCTGGGTCTAACCAGGAACTATACAAAATCCTAAGCTGGCGTAAGTCTAGCCTAGCTATAAAGGCCCCGCCTCTTATAGTAGATGGACAGGCAATTAACAACCCCTACGATAAAGCCCAGGCTTTACGGAAGGCCCTATTAGAGAGATTTAACGCTACAGACGACCTACCTAGAAACCCTTTCACTGTTCCTATAGTAATAAGGCGTCTAATACCCTGGCAGCAAACAGTCAGCATAGAAGAAGTACGCCAGGCTACTCTCATAAAGGCTACAACCCCTGGGATTAATAGGATTACTACAAAGTTACTACAATCTATTTAGGGCCTTATAGCCACACCTATACAGCAGCTCTTTCAGGCCTGCGTTCAGACAGGTTACTTCCTAAGAACCTTCCGCAAAGCAGAGGTTGTTATGATCCAGAAGCCAGGGAAAACAGACTTCTCTAAGACTGGGTCCTGGCGCCTGATATCCCTGCTATCCTGCTTAGGTAAAGGCTTAGAGCGGCTGATAGCAAAAAGGATGGCCTACCTTACTATCCTAGAAGGGGTTGCCAGCCTACAGCAGGTTGGAGCCCTACCAGGGAGGGCAGCAGTCGACCTAACAACCTGTCTTACCTATGAGATCGAGAAGGCTCTGGATCTAGGGCTTACGGCAACACTAGCCACAATGGACGTCAAAGGGGCGTTTGATTCTGTCCTACGAAATCGACTTATTATTAGGCTACGACAGCAGGGCTGGCCTAGCAGTCTGATCAAGCTGATATACACCTTCACCTCTAGCCGAACTGCCCGGGTTAGGCTAGAGGACATAACTACAGAGGACTTTCCTCTTACCTGCAGGCTGCCACAGGGCTCGCTACTATCCCCTATTCTTTTCCTGCTATATATAGCTGATATCCTAGCTGACGATCAGAAGCTACGGTTTAGGTATGCAGACGATATAGGCCTGCTGGCTTCTAGCCCATCCCTTGAGGGTAATGCTGCAGCCCTCAGCCAGGAGATAACTCAGATCCTCAACTGGGGCACTGATAATAAGGTTGCGTTTAACCCAGCTAAGTGTGAAGCAATCCACTTTAGCAGAAAACATAACCAGTCAAGAGACCTACTAGATATACAGGCAAAGGACCTTACTATTAAGGCCTCAACTAAGCCTATACGATGGCTAGGGGTCTGGTTTGACAGGAAACTCACCTTCCGACACCATGTTGAAACAAAGGCAGCAGCAGCAAAAAAGGCAGTCCAGTTTCTACAGCACCTATCAAACACAAAAGGGGGGCTCCCAGCAGCTGCTGCACGGAAAGCAGTTATTGCCTGCGTCCTCCCAACAGCCCTATATGGGGCTGAGACCTGGTATGCAGGCTTAAATAGACCAGCCAGGAACAGAAGCACTACTACTACTGCTAGCAGCAGTGCTGCCAACCAGGTGGCTACAGTTAGTACAGGGCAGAAGGGCCTGGTCAGAAAGGTTATAACAGCAGCAGCGAGGGCCATTCTACCTGTCTGGAAGACCACGCCAACTTGCAGCCTCCTCTGAGATGCTGGCCTGCCTACAGCAAAAGTAGCCCTTGAGGGAGTACGACTACGCTTCGCCGCACGCCTACAGAAGGTTGACAAACAGCACCCTTTAGTCCCTAGGCTCTCACAGCCAGGACGGCAGCAAACAAGGCTTCAAAGAACAGCAGCCCTCCTACCTAAGTGCCTAAGGCTGCTGCTCCTACAGCCACAGTACCTCCTAGGACTGTATAACCTTACAGCTGGACAAAGTAAGGAGACTGCAGCTAAGTCGTTTCAGGCCTGGCTTAAGACTGTGCCAGATAACTATACAGTTATCTACTCAGACGGCTCAAAAGCCCCTGAAGGGGCTACAGGGTTCGGCTTTATTATCTATCGCAGTAATAGACGGATAGCCTAAGGGTGTGGCCGTCTCAGCATTGCAGAAGTATTTGATGGCGAGGCGGAGGGGGCGAGGGCAGGGCTCCAAAGGGCCCTCCTTACATCCCAAGGCCAGCCTATACACATCTGTATCGATAACACTAGCGTTATCCAGGGGATTCAAAGTAGAGCCCCAGGCTCCTCTCAAGCTGCCTTCTTAGAGATTCAGGCAGCAGCCAGGATATATACTATACAAATCCACTGGTCCCCAGGGCACCAAGGGATAAAAGGAAACGAAGAAGCTGACAGCCTAGCCAAGGAGGGCATAACGCTGCCGATCCCTAGAGGCTTAATGCCAACCCTATCAGGGATTAAACGGCTTGCTAAAGAACGCAAACAGCACCAGCATAGGAAATGGTGGAAGCAAGAGGCATCCCCCCGTTATACCCAGCTAGGGCTGAAGGCCACCCTTGGCTGCCCTCCTGAATTAGCTCTACCAAGAGCTATCCTTCATCATCTCATAGCAGCTCGATCGGGCCATGGGGACTTTGAACAATATCATCAACGCTTCAACCACACAGAAGCACTACTTACCTGCTCCTGCGGGGAGGCTAAGGAGGTGGACCACCTGGTCTACTGCCGAAAGACATTAGTGAGGAGGCAACGGTGGCCTACCCTCCACCCTTATAGTCGGCGGGAGCCTCTAGGACCTGTGGGCTCTCTAGAGCGCTATTTTAAGGGGCTAATCATCGACTCAGAAGGCTTTCAGGCCTTCCTCAGCGTGACAGATTTCTTTCAGAAGATCTGCCCGCGGTACTAAGACATAGGCTGCAGCCTACTCCCTAAGCAACCAGGGAAAAAAAAAAAAAAAGGTTATAACGGAACTAGGGCACCAGTGGGAACTAGGGAAGGATGGAACACGTAGTAGCCTGCGGGCAATACTTGGAGGACGTTAGGAAGCGGCATGTGCTTAGAGTATATAGCTAGAACCTGCGGCCCTCCACGCCATATACCCTTCGGGAGGTCTGCCGCAAGGGCTTTTGCGTCCTTGCCGTCACGGCGTTAAATATAAAACAAAACAAAACAAAACAAAACAGAAAGCGGCGTCTCTTAGGACAATGGAACGGCCCATGGCCAGAACATCCTTCTCCGAACAGATCTCACTTTCTTCACATACACCGAGAATACTCCATCCTTTAAGTAAGTACATCGGGCAAAAGAGCTTATTCTGACGTTTCATGGGTTGGATCTCAAGCACTTGATCGGGGCAGTGCGTTTCTCAAGCTGTAAACATTACATCTGGGTGCTTGGCCAAAAGCAGTCTTCCGCCCGATGCTCCGCCGTATTCTTTCCGAAGCCCTATATCGGACCGTCATCCACATGCGGTTGCATTTTCGTCATGAAATATAACCTTGTTTCATCCGCGAGCAGGACGCGCCCAACATGCCACAACACCTCGATTACCCGCAAGGGAATCTCGTCGCCACACTCGTGCTTGAACCATGCCGGCCTTTCTACCCTCGCGGACGCCTCGAAGACGGCTGCCTGCATGGTCCCGAGCTGCGCCGTCCCTGCGAGCGCCGAGCTTTTAATGAGATGGAATGACAGGGCGTGCGGGTTGAGTTCGAACAGGCTGAAGGGCGTCGGCACGTGGTCCGGCTTGGGGCAAGAGGCCGGAGCCCATATATGCGGTCCTGGGAGGCGTCCGGGGCGGTGGGGATGGAGCTGGAGTCAGGACAGGTATTGAGATGGTGCTTACATTAGAAGAGTGCCAGGCTTGCTTGACCATGAGGCCGAGCATGAGAGGGTAACGACGATCTTGATGCAGTATCTGAGCATCTTGGTTATGGGAGACTGAATGAGCTTCTCTGGGAGAAAGCTGAATGGTATCCTCTGTTGATGCCCCGTATATCTGAAGATTGGAGGCGAGCTATATTTGATGCAAGCCGGTGGAAAGCGGAAGAGACATCCACAGAGACTAAGATAACGTTTTCACTTATCATCATCAGCCTGCAATGCTGGGTCATGGTCGACCGTTCGAACCACCTCTGTCGATGGTTGACAAGTCAGTGAAACACTTGGGAGCAGCCTCGTGAAAGCCCAGACCGTTATATAGACAATGATTTCAAAGATAGCTTCTTTGCTCGCTATCTCTCATACGCAGTTGCGTCTCAGGCCAGTGCCACACACTTTGATGTATCATGAGGGGCCTATTTTAAGAAAGATGTATACTACCTATCCTCCGTCTCTATTAATGTCAGTTCTTCTCTAACAACCAGACTTGACATCTTTATCAGAAATTTCCTTTGTTCACTCATATTTATATCTATTGAAACCTCGCAGCGAAAGGCCTTTAGAACGCCTGAGCGGGTGAGACGCGTGTTTGATGTGTTGACTGTGACTATCTTGTTTGATTCTCCGACATCCCTCGATGAAGTGCCGAAAGTATGTCACTTCTATACCTTTGCAAGTAAGCGCGCGACAAATGGTTTGCTGTGTCACACATGGAAATCATGTCAGCTGAGGTGTTGCTGAGGCCAAAGGCTGACTCTCCAAGCCGGGCGCGATGGAAGTCCTCGAAATGCGCAGTAACTGCCCCCAGATCGCGACCACGACGTTCGAGATTGTGTTGGCCAGTGATGCTATCGTTGGGAAAGACCCTGCTGGAGGGGACGAACCAACACCTCCAGGCCCCTGGCGAGGATGCGGACTGGATGAGCTCGCTTGTGGGAGATTGAGCTGGGGGAGCATCGGCGGCGCTGCCAAGGCCGTGGCGTGACAACGGTCGTCGAGATCATCAATGTCTGCCCAGAGCTCAACGATGTGATGTGTGAAAGCTGTCGCGCCGTCTTTGGCAGGGAGATTAAGAAGCACGATGTCATGACACAAAGGATGTTGGTTATTTGGATGTAACGGCTCACTATCAACCTTTCTGGGGGTGTGACTTGCAAGCTCGTTCCGGTGGGCGATGTGGGCTGCGGGCAAGGTGTGACATCGTGTCGCTTCTTCTCGCAACAAGCCTGGATGAATCGTGGCTCGTGGGCAAAGTGCCATGGGATGGCGTACAGGGATCTGATAGGTGCTGCTCTATCGACCAGAAAGGACTCGCCTCGAATGCGGTAGGTCTTGAAGTTGTCGTTGATGGGCATGTTGGGTTTGGGTACCATACTGAGTCATAGAGCAACGTAGCGCAGACTATGCGTGGCGGAAGGAAACCAGGAATCGAGAACAAGCAACCGGAGCCCTGACTCGAGGATAACATCTGAGCTGGTGCGGCGAAGGAAGAGGTCGCAGGACTAGCTGAATACGGCGGCATCAGCATCGGCGTGCTGCTTTTCCGAGCTTTTCCGAAGTCGAAGAACAGCATTTCGTGGACGCAGGTGTTGCTGACGAGGTCGTGAAGCTGTGCGAGGAGTGTCTTCCAGCTGTGATGTGGGTTTCCAGGCGTGAGAAGAAGCGTAGGTGACTCTGCTGCTTAAGTGATTTGGTGGTAAATAGGAAGAGCGTCTGCGTGCAGTGCAGTCGGCTCCACGGTCATGACATGTCGCAAAACGTAAGAGATACTGAGAGCTACGAGAGCAGGTGGGTAGGAGGGGATGCTGATGGTAGTGGTAGTGCTTTTGGGGCCTGAAGGGAGAAAAATTGTGATCAAGGTCGCGGCCGAGGCAGTCGCGATTGACAATGCTGCGACACGAACGCAATCCTAGAAAAGTTGCATACATCTAGCGGCATCGCGGGTTGCCCGTGGAGAATCGGAAGAAGCTGAGCTCGATTCATCGCTATCATCTTCATATTTTGGCGCTGCTATCTTCATACTTGCTGCCTAGGTTCAGGATACCAAGACCTCCGTGGATGCAGAAAGACGGTGAAAGCCAGGAAAGCAAAAAAAGATAAGCAAATTCTTTGAAGGAGTTGCCGCAGTAGGCGTTGAGATGTAAGGAAATGGGACGTTCCAGGTCGGCAACGAAGGACTGGCGGAAACAAAGCTCGAAAGGCTGCATGTGAAGCAAGGATCCAGGCCAACATACTTCGAGAGGAACGCATGGGAGCATGATCGAGAAGCGCACCATAGTAAAGGTATCCCGAGGATTTGTTTCCGGTTCGGGGCCATGGCTGTCTCTCCTGAAGGACAGCGGCGACGGAGCCGAAAGGGGAGATGCAGAACACCGCAGGAGAGATGGAGATCGGGCGCGCGTTCTGGGCGTCGACATCAAAACAGGTCGGTTGGTCGCCGGGGGGAAAAGAATTATAGATAGTGCCAAACAGCGCTAGAAAGACAGAGACAGATGCAGTATGTTGAGGTCTAAGGTAATGGGAGGTTAGCAGGTGCAACAGGAACAAGAACCTGGATGAAAATGCCCTACGAGGAGCAATCATACATAATGAGACGATTCGAAGGGCAAAATTGGCAAAGATGAAAGCACCAGCGGTTTGTCCGGCCCGTCGCGGTTGAATTTCTATTTCATTGTTGTTTGGTTTTGGTCACTCCAACGGTTCCCTCGCTTACGCCATTCATAGATCGTCCGGGTCTCTCGTCGCTTTCGTGCCCATTAATGCTACTGATCGTGGCCACGACATGGTCCCCAGAGATTCCTGCTGCCGGCAATCGAATCAGTCAAAGTGGTACCCTCCAGGTCCGAGTCGAATGTTTGTTCCATGTGGCTGATTCAGGCAATTAGCCTGTGTCACTTCCGCAGTCATGCTCTGGACTGTAATCATGATGATGGAATGCCGCATGATCGGAGCCATTTCGGCCGGTAGCTCAATGTCTTGTTCCGTGTAGTTTGGAGCCCTTGTGGCTGAGATTATCGGGCTGCGAGCCACCTTGAACAGGCATCTTGCCATAGAATGTACCCAGGTCAAACACCTTGCCCTTGAGGGAGTCTTCACCGGACCCGTCGTGATAAGAGCCCCAGCCCTTCGGAATCCCATGATTGGATGCGTCGTTTTTAGAGCCACCTCCACCGTTTACACCATCGCGATATGCGTCCTCGTCTGTATCGATCACAGAGCCGTCATAACCATCTGGATTGCCTAAACCGTCGACGCTATCGTCTCCATGACCGTCGTTTTTGGACTCCTGTGATACCGGGACTATTGCTCTCAAGGGCCTCACCGTCAGCAGATCGTCGGCCATGTTTTCCTTGGGTAGTATCATTGGCAGCCGGCTTTCTTGGAACCAACTGCGACTGATTGTTAGCCAAAGAATAAAATTCTTGTACGTGAACACAGCCTACGCACCTTCTGAGCCAGCGAACCAAATAAACTGATCATGGCCCCGAGATGGTTGTTTCCTTGTTTTTCTGGTGCTCTACTCGAGCGGCTTCGGCGGCGTGGATGTCTGCCGGTCTGACGTGGGAGCTGATCGCAGGAAGCATAGCCTGAAGACCCTGCCCAGTGGCGCTCGGAGTTGCGTGTGCACTTGTCTAACGAAGTTGTCTAGAGTGACTTCTTTCATCTTGAAGGGGCGGAAAAAAAAAAGAAACAACAGCATTTCCTCACGAGCTGATTGTGCCTGGACCAAAGGCGAGAAGAAGTCATAGTTCGACACTCGCTGGTTCTTTATTGCCCGGTTCAGCGAGTTGAACTGCTATCTCAGTAGTTCTCTCGCGCGATCTGGACTCTTGACCTGGTAGGCGAAGGAGCGTCGCATCCTGCTTCCCGGGGCCAGGTTGTTTGTTGCCGGCTGAGCTGCCCCAGGATTGACGAAGAGCTGCTAGCTGGCTAGCGAGGAAATCCGAAAGAATGTTGTCCAGCAAAGTCGATAGATTCTCCATGAAAGCTGTAGTGGGCCTCTGTTTTGTACGTCGCTGTTGCGGG